AGGAGATATGCGCGTGCGGGGGCGTCGGAGCTCCCAGCTTTGACTGGAAAGAGCGTGGGTAGACAATGGCTTGCTGCCTTTGGCTGCATTTACATAAATCCAACCGTAGCGCATCTAATCGAGATTTGACTATTTTGATTGCTAACAGATGGGTAAAAGAGGCAGAAGTAGGCAGACAGGCTGCGTGTGACTGGTCCCTGCTCGATTCGATGCGATGCGATCGCATTCATGTAAGCATAGCCTTTGTATACCTGCCAACTGCATCCCCTCCAATAAGAGCGAGCTAGTGGGTCGTCTGCTGCACGTGCCGAATATGGCGCGTTCGAACGAAGCTCTTGTTTGCTCTGATTGGAGGCGGGTAGTGGTTGGAGACCAAGGCAGCGAGACTTGGTGTCTGCCCACTATACCTCGTTTCACCTTACAATGGACCGCAAAGGACGCTACTAGCCAACGGAGCCAATCCATAGCTCGAAAGGGTGTCGCGTGTCCTTCCGGTTGGGCGGGGGCAACGCGGAGAGCGCAAAGTCACGTGACAAGCTACGAGCTATATGAATTGACTCGGGTGGAGCATCCGTCACGGTACTTCGTAAGGGGGAACGGGGTATAATCGTTGCAATTTCAAAACCTTCCCTCCTTCAGTTTCTTACTACATGGTTGCCGACAGAGTGGTAGAGGGAAGAAGGAGTTTCGGTTGTCCCAGCCTCCAACGCGAGCTTCCTGCCCTCCATTAGCGGCGAGATGTTTTGGTGGCGCCCTCCTATGGTTCCCCCTTGTGACGTCATTACCTTGCGAACAACGAAGTTCGATGGTGTTTCTAAATAGCATGGTGGAAGCCTGAAATCATTGCGCTCTCAAAGGAACACTGCCAACACCGTCGAAATTAAAGTTCTTTCATTCCTCTTATTTCCGTCGATGGGATACCCCTTCCGACGTCATAGTCAGCTTTTGGGCCAATCGTGGAAGGCCGACTACAGCGACGCTTTCGGTCGCGCACGTCGCCAATAACACTCGGACGTCTGGCGGGCTTCGAGCGTGCCCCCGCAGCGAATGCACGGCGGACGCGGTGACGAGCGCGTGCTGGGGGCCGAGCATATGAAAGAGACGTCCCGCCGTTCTCAACCTGCCAGTTACTATGTACCAGAGCTGGCAGTAATGCAATTACTGTAATGAAATTACAGTAATTTAATTACTTGTTCCAGTAATTAGTAATGTAATTCATTACTTTTTGTAGCAGGTAATTTAGTAATGTAATGAATTACTCCAGCGACGGTAATTGTAATTAAACTACCTAATTACTTTTTCGCACCAGGCATATTTTTTGTGTCCACAATACACAAGAGCGCTTTTCTTTTTATTTTACTTTTTCTTTTTCCTCTACACCTTTCCAAAAAACGCTCTTTGGCCGCCGCTATGTTGCTGATGCTGATGCGGCTGGTGCGACTCTCGTGCCCGCTATCAGCTATACATTTTCTGCCACTCTCTTGAACTGTGAAAACCCACTCAGCGCGATTCTCTACCTATGTTTTGCGGTTTTGCATTGGACGTTTTCTGGCCTCTCTTGAAAGTTTCCGCTTACTTTTTCTGATGCATACTGCGTACCCTCTCTGTGTTTTCTTCCACTGTGAGAAATAGGGCTGGTAAGTGCCTTCCATTCGAGCTTTTCTGCTCGACATTCTCGGGAAACGAAGGAGGGGAAGTAGGTCGAACTAAGGCCCCTGGTGGAACGGCCCTCGACGCGATTTTGCGAACAATGACAATTGTTCTCCCCCCTCCCCGAGATAATCCGCGTAGGGTCCTCAGTCATCTCCAAAAATAGTTGTCCGGGTTGGGGTGGGAAACGGATCAGTCGCGTGCGTTCCTCTGTCCATCGGTAAACATGCAACAGAGAGTTCTAGCTGTGTGCCATGAACTGTGGAAATAATGTAAATAAAGTTATCTGTAAAAGGAAGTTATCAATAGCTCCTTCATATTTAAAAGTATACAAAAGTAATGCGAAAGTAATGTCATTACTTTTAAAAGTAATTTGTAATGGTAATTAATTACTTTCTGGCTGTGGTAATTTGTAATGTAATTTAATTACATTTCAGCAATTTTCAGCAAAGTAATTAGTAATGTAATTTAATTACAAAATATGAGTAATTTGGCCAGCTCTGCTATGTACTGACTAAAGGAACCCCGATTATTAGTGCTCTACGTACATCTCAGAGAGTTATACAGGCATGAGGTTCTGAGAAACGCTTCGATAGAATCTATCCATTCGTCATTCTGTTCAAAATCGTTAAATTCAAACAAACCTTTTTCTCTTCTTTTTTTATGTGATATACTTGAAACTATTTATCCCATACACTCACAAACGCAAACACGGTATATTTATTATCAACCTTCCAAAACAAATGCACGATGCTCTTATCTGGAATAATCGCTTTCTTGGGGGATGAACAAAGGCCATCCTGCCTTGCTTCCTGGCCAGTTTACGGTTTTGCTAAATATGTTTCCACAAAATAAATAACTCATGCCGGCGCCTGCAAAGTTTCCGCTACTCGGTACTTTTTTTTATTATTTTTTTTATAATTTGTCTTTTATACTTTATTTTAATCACTTGAGAACTTTGCGCGCCGCCCGTATCTCGGCATGGCATGGAATTCGCTTGCGTGTTAACCGCGACAGAACCCAGAACACTTATGGGGAACACAAAAGAAAGTAGAACGAACAAACAAAATTTGTTTAAATATTTTTGCCTCGTCTTTCAAGTGTGTGTCGAATTCCACGTCTTTTGGTTCATGATCTGACTAGCAACATTAACATTATTTAGCTAATGGCACGTTGCTAACAACGTTGTTAACGTGTTTATAACAACGACAAAAACTAACTTGCAAAAAACTTGTTAGACGTTAAAAACCAGCAAAATGACTTGTATATAGGCAACCCCGATTCGGCAGCAAAACGAAAACTCATTCTTGTTTTTCTTTTCTTATGTCATCATGCAATGTCTGCTATTAGCTCCGAGACGTCTGGAAGATGTTTCGGTGGCGCCCTCTAATAGTTTCCGTTCGTGACGTCACGACCGTGATTTGCCTCACCGTGATTGGCAGGATTTGCTTCGCCTTGAGCCTGCGATTGGGCAGGCATTATAAGTACAGGAAGCTATGGTTTGGCAAATCGCAAACTTCGACCACAGAGACACTCTCTGTCGCGCACGTCGCTAACAGTTCGTTTCAGCTTAAATCCAGATGCAGCAGACGCTACGAGGTAATGGAACTAAGGAAGCAGCGTGAAAAGCGCAAGTCACTGTTTACGATTGGTTCAGTGATGGTACGGCACGTACAGAAACATGACGAACACCATGACGGTGCTCTTTTGACTTTGTTTGATTGGTATCTTCAGCTCGTAGCGTCGGCTGCGTCTGGACTTAGGATGAAAAGAAGTATGTAAATGTTCGCCTGCTTTGACTTTACTTCATTTCACCGTACGTCCAAGCACAATCAAAGCCTAGGATTATAAAAAAAAGACACATCCGAAACATATTAAAAGCACAAGCTTACGGCACATGTAAGCGCGTGCTTGGTTTAGCGGTTAATAGCAGGCGCACAAAAGCATGGCAAACGTCCAGGCATTGCGCTTTTGGGGCTCCTTGATTGGCACCATCAACTCGCATGTCCACTGCGCTCAGATGGTTTCGTGTGTGCATAAATCGTCTTAATTGCGGTGTAGTTTTAATGAAGGGACTTCGAGCGATGCCATTTTAAGCGTTTGTAGATATCGCACGTGCTTGTTCGCGTTTCCAAAGCAAAAATATGCGCGAGCATAAGCTGCGGATTTGTAAACATTCTAGTGGCGAGAACGCGGAACGAAAAATATATGGAGTCAAGAAAGCAGATGTTCGAGAGACTGTTGCAAACACGGTAACTAGGGGATCGACTCATATTTGATAAATATTGAATGGTAAAAATTAGCACACTCGTATGAAAGGTTTCAATCTAACAGCCACTTTAAAGGCGGTTCAAACGTTGGTGATATTACTTTTTAGTTGTTGACAGTTGTTGTACGCACCGGTGGTTGTAATATGAGGATCTGTTCCAGAATTGTTATCCACATTCATTCTGAAACCATATTAGTGTATTTGGATTTGGATTTGGATTTGGGCTAGTTGGTTGAACCTACTCGTCCGTCGTTTGTAGGGCTTTTAACCCTTAAACATTTAGTATTCTACCTTAACTTAATAATAATAAAAATTAAAAAAAAAAAATTGCCTTTTTGCCGTCGTGGCACACGCAGTTGTAACACAGAATTTCACGGGCTGTCTATAGAGAAACGGGGTAGACATCTGGAGGCTCGATCGCGCGAAAGGTATCCGTGTTCGCTATGACGAAATCGCCGGACGCGGTTTTGCTGGGGCCTGCGAGCGGCTTTGTGCCCGTTATATGTCCATCGGCGCAGAGTGGAACCGACCTGGCTGAGGTGGGCGCGCGATTGCTGGCTCTTGCTGGACGGCCGGGGATTATATCGTGTACACGGCCGCGATTGCCGGACGGCCGGGGATTATCGTGTGCACGGCCGCACTCGGCACTTGAAGAGGAATCCTCAGCCGCCATGATATTCCAGCGCTTCCTGCGCCTCGCCCCCTCGCTCGAGGACCTGAGAGCACCGCTAAAAGGCTTCGTGCCAACGGCCGGCTGACCTCGCGGCCTTCTGTCGTGCCCGGTAAGCGCGTCGAGCGCTTCGTGGATCTGCTATTTGAGTGCGTTATTGTCTGTGGCGGGCCTGTATATGCGAAGTTCTTAGAGCCTGTCCGCCATTAAGTTACAAACTCTTTATAGTTCTAGTCTTCAATCTAGGCGATCTACAGCGCAGATTAGAATAACACCCAAACTGAGCAATATATATATATATATATATATATATATATTTACGACAGTTGCAATAGGCGGGTGCGTTTTTATTTACGCGTATCAGTGTGGCCTCTGACTGTGTGCACCTGTCTCTCTCCCTCTCTCTCGCAGACTCTCGTGTGTCGGACGGGACCAACGTGTGCTCGGTCCTCCTGACATTCATCTCCCTGCTCATCATATCCCTCACCTGCCCCTTCTCCCTCTTCTTCTGCATCAAGGTGCGTTGGAATTGGGTTCGGCGGATTGTATGCGTTCCTCGCAGCGTCGGCACATCCGATGCCACTAGGGTGACCCTGCTGCTCCGCGAGCGTGATCTGCAGCATACATTTTGCGCCACGGAAATTTTCCCTTAACGACAAGAACAGGTAGGAATGACCACCAGCACGGTGCGATGACATCACGTGCAAGCCATGTACAGAGTGTCCCTCAAAAAATTTACAGGGTTCACCTCCGTTTTTTTTTTCCCTTGACACATTGTATACCAGTTAACTTATTTTAATCGTGCCGCAGCCGTGTTATGCGGACACCACCCCTGGAATACTCTACGCTTGCGAACATCCTCCTCTTGCTCCGTGCAACACGATCACAGTCCAATGGCAATTGAACCCAAACCCGATGCCGAGGTTTCTCCGACGCTTTGATTGGACGCGAGGCCCCGTCGAACGTGGACGTAGCACTCGTATTCAATCTGCGTCTTCGCTCGATCATACTGTGATGACGTCAAAGTTTCTAATGCGTAGGCTTTGATGATTATTCTATGGTTATGCCCGATTCCCATAGGAGAAGTTTACTCACGATTTCGCAGTTGCGATGTCGCTTATGCTGCAAAAAAAGAAAAAAGCATAGTGCAAGCAGGAGTGAATGCCGGAGTGGCAAAATCCTGAGCAAATTCTCCCCATGTTAATAAGGTGTTAATCGTTGTACTGCTTCGGTAAAATCGCGGCCCTATAGGGCGGCGACGCAGAACATGACACCTAAAACAAAATGTGGCGAATTCACGCTGTTCGAATATCTATGTACAGTCGCCCAATTTTTTAATAATATCACGCGAGCATCGACCGCCTGGACGGGCAGTGCCGTGCCGCGGAGAAATGCGGCGTCACGGGAGAGATTATGCGCGTGCGCAGAAAGCCCTTTCTGAGGAGCGTCGTCTGCTACGCCATTCCGCTGATCGCACACAGCCCCAGCTCCGTAGAAAAGGAGCGCGTTGCGCCGATTGTTTGTACTCCGTTTCACTTTGTGTTGTACCGCAGCCGACGCTACGAGCCATCTGGGCCAGTCCATTGCTAAATGTGTGTCACGTAGCCTTCCTGTTCGGCACAACTGCACGTGGAAGCACGATGCTACGTGGCAGAGTGACAGTGCTGGATTGGTTTTGATGGCTCGTAGCATTGGCTGCGGCATATAGTTTAATGCATTGTTGCATTCAGCTTGTCACGTCATCGTATTTTTTTTTTTGTTGATGACAAAGTGAACACAAACAAAAAATAAAATAATAAAAAAAAACTAAACTAAACGAGATGACGGGCGGTTTCTTTCACGCCTGAGCACTATCGCGGTATCACGCAAGGAAGCGCTGTTCAGATCTTTGCTTAAAGGCGGTCAGCTATGCCAGCAGATAGGGAACAGGGTCAGTGTGCCGTCCACAGAATAGCCTAGCAGACGACGCTCGAACCGGAGGGAGCTTTGTGCGCACGCGCCTAATTTCTCCCGTGACGCCGCATTTCTCCGCGGCACTGCGCTGGCCGTCCCGGCGGTCGACGTTCGCGTGATATTATTAAAACATTGGCCGACTGTACATCAAGGTTCAACCCACGAAGAGAGGCCAAGATGTCTCCACCAAATTTTTCATTTCTAATTAAATCTATTAGTTTCAATTTGTTTTTCACGCTTCGCTTACAGTGACACACATCGAGCGAAAACATAAGGGATAACGAAGAAACAAGAAAAGCACTGTATATTGCGCGAGCGCATATAGATCCAAGGACAATAAAACTTGGAAAAGCGAAACAAGATCCCAGTGACTAGATAAGCTCGCAGTCCTCTTCTCATTAGCAGAGCTGATGGACGGCGCACGCAAACCGAGCCCGAAGTATGTATAAACACACAACGTTCCGCAGGCACACGCCAACCTGCGCCGCCATCACGGGGGGAAACAGCACTCATACACGGAAGAAGTATATGATAGACCGTCCTCGCAGAGAGTACACGGTTGCATCGATTCTTGCACATAGAATATATAGGTACCGGTTGCTGTCACAAGCTGAAATTCGATATGTGGCGGTCGAATTATGGACTGGATTTATCGAAGGTGGCTTCAAGGTTGATGCCATGACCGATTGGTGAAAACAAGTCGTCAGGAACGCCTCGTTGCCGTGGGTGGTCCAATGGGGGCGGCCTTGACGATGACGTCGCGGTGTGCGTAGCTCACGTGATTTTAGTGGCGTCCAACTGGAGAGTGGGTTGATTCGGTGCTAAGTGTCCGTTGGTTTGTCGGAAAGGGAGTTGAGCGGCTATAGAGTGGTTTATCCCGTGCGACTTTTAAATTTTTTTTAAATATTTTTTTTATTATATATAGATTATTTTACAGTGTGCACTCTAAAAAAAAAAAAAGTCTGTGCGTCTACTTTCACGCCCAACACTCGGAGAACCAATCACCACAACTTACGGAGGCAGCTCAGCGAATGACGATGCCGAAACATCTGTTTAGACCAAAAAACGCAGACTGAGTTGTGACATTAGGCAATGTAAGCGTGACGTTTTGCATTGCTTAATGTCACAACTCAGACTGCTTTGTTTGGTCTAAATAGATGTTTCGGCATCGTCATTCGCTGAGCTGCCTCCGTAAGTTGCGCTGATTAGCTCTCCAAGTGTGGTGCGGGAAAGCAGACGCTCAGACTTTTTTTAGAGTGTAGAAAGAGTTCCAGTCCAGCGTGCAATTAAAACGATCCAGTGGCACGTGCATGCAACTTTGTGAAGCGAGGGTAGCATGCAGCAAATGCGCCAACATGGTAACTGCCTGAACTTCTCACGAGAATATAGGAGTAACCAAACTACTACTAACTTGACCTGTGGCGTTGGCGTACGATTTGATTGCTGGTGTGCGTGTACCGCCCTGTTTTATAAATGTTTTGGAGCAGCTGTGCATGGGTGGCACCATAACCGACCTTCAGTTTTTGATTCCTCTTATTCCGTTTACTACACTTCATCATTACGACCTTCAGTTTTTGATTCCTCTTATTCCGTTTACTACACTTCATCATTACTATGGCAGGCCAGGTTACTGTCACCTGATATTCTATTGTGTTCCTCTCCCCAGCCTTTAAGGAGACGCGTCAACGCCCGTTTTAGTGGCTCGGTATCTCGGTAAAACAAAAGAAGGTCAGCAATAACGGCCGTAGTCTGACGGGTGTGTAAACCGTCTATACGATTTCATGAAAGACATTGTAATCAGAAGATGTGACATGTGTATTTATGCAGACGTCCGAGTAAGGTCGCTCTGAGTGAGGAAGTCATCGGGGCATGCCGCGAATTGGACTCGGTGGTAAATTCGCTTTCTCCTCATTTTTTCGCCACTTACAGGAGCTTAAAAATTTGAGACATAAAAGTTACACAAACAAACAAAAAAAATCATTAATTACTTATGAGACAACATGCGATGTAAAACAAACCAGTGATTAGTATTCTTCAATTTCTAATAGGTTTTGAAGTACAGCCGCGTGGAATTCCGTTATTTCCTGGGTCGTTCCTTGGACCATTATTTCATTAAACGTCATCGACTTACATTTAAAAAAAAAAAAAACCGAGACTGCAGGTAACGACACACACGCTCAAAGATTGAGACTTTTGAGTGTGTGTGTCTTACCTGCAGTATCGAGGGTGTTCATTTCAAGTCAAGTCAAAATGTGTTTTTATTTGTGAACAAGATGTTTGATCCTTACACTTATTCAGACCGGGGTCCTAAAGTTTTCAAAGAAAACTGTTTAAGGGACCCCTTGGTAATAAAGGGTTAGTCAGCGATCAAGTTGGCACCATTGTATATAAAAGAGAAAAAAAAAAAAACGAAACATGGTTGCGGTATGTATACATCAAAATAGAGAAGAAAAGCTAGAATGTTGAGGAAAGGAGGATATCAGTGTGTGTGTTTGTGTGTGTGTGATTGTGGAAATTGTGTGAAAGGTGTGCATAGGAGAGAAGAATTTATCGGGGGGGGGGGGGGGGCATAGAAATTGTTGATGAATCATGCAGAAAATATCTGTGCACGTATGGCTTGTTTAAAGATACAGAATGATGACATGGCAGTTAGGCTGTGTGGTAGGGAGCTCCTCGTTTTTAGTAGCAATGTAAATGAAGGTGAACGCGTCATAATTAGTTCGTATGTATGGTACAGACAGTGACGCTTGGGAGTGTGAACGAAGAAAATAGATGACATCTTGATGAATAAAACTAATTAAAGAGCATGGTTATCTGATTGGTGATGAACTCAAATATTAATAATGCTATGCGATAATCGAGGCATTGATTAACTGTTAAAATGTTGAGGAAGCGGTATGCAAATTGAGCGCTTTCACGCCTATTAACAAACAGGATTGCTCGTAGTGCTGTGTTCTGGGCAACTACTATGGGTTTTAGTGTTGTTTTATTTGTCAATCCGTAAATGGATAACTCGTACGAAATGTGAGTATGAATAAAGCTATGATAAAGCATTTGGAGGGTTCTTAAGGAAAACATATGCCGTAGTTTATATAGAATCGGTTTATTTCGATATATCTGGTTAATTGTGTCTTTTACGTGTTGATGCCATGTTAAATGATGGTCAAGCGTTATACTTCGTCTCACCCTACGATGGACTAAAGGCAAAAGCTGTGGACCACCAGATCCAATCACAGGTTATAGGTTAGCCATTTAGCTAGCTTTTCTAAAGTGTTATTAGCCTCCATGTATAGTTTTGTCACGCTTGCATTAGATATAAAAATATTATTATTATCGTCGGCACAAAGACCACAATCTTTTTTGTAAATAGGCTGCCAGGTAATTAATATATATTAAAAAAAAGAAAGGGACCTAATATTGAGCCTTGCGGAACACTGATGGTAAAGGTTTAGTTGTTGAAATAGTGCCAGCTAAAGTGACAAATTTACATCTGTTTGTTAGATAACTTTCGATTAGATTGAGAGAAACACCACGAATCCCGTAAGGACTTAATTTCTGTAGTAAA